CTCGTTCCAGAATCTGGACGAAAAGAAGCGCCCGGCCGGTCCACCCGCAGGTTGCAAGGCTTCCGGAACTTCTTCGCTCCCACCAGGTCAAGGCGACCCGGCAAGACGAAGCGAAGTTCGCCCCTGATTCCCGGCCTGGGCCGGCAGCATTCCCGCCCAGTCCAAGGCCAAGTGCAATCTCAAAGCACGAGGAGACGTTGACAGAAGCCGGTCAACCTCAAGGCTCCCGTGTCGGACCCGCAGTCGGAGCACTCGAACGAGAGTGGCTCTCGGGAGGCGCCGAGTACTCGTACTCGTACGAGGGCACCTCCGCCCCTGCTTGACCGGAATGGAGAAGTCCACTTCCACGTGGAGCGGATCCTCCAGGAGCAACGGTGTCGCGGGAAGCGACAGCTCCTCGTGAAGTGGAGGGGTTATGCCCACTCCGAGAACTCGTGGGAGCCGATTGAACGGCTCCTGATTGACTGCCCGAAAGGCTGTCGCAATCTGGGAACAGAAGCGGCGGCAGCTTCATAAGTAGTCCGGGGCTTCTTGCCCGAACGGGGTACGGATGATGAATACATACCGTACCCGCGCTCATCGTGAGCGCTAGAAGCCGCGCGCTTCAGGATGTCCCTTGGCAGCATACGCTTGCTGATCAAGTGGGCAAACCTCACACGAAGATCACGCTGGTCCAGGATGTGGGACAGCTGCTGATCTTCATGGAGTTCCCATAACTCCGTGGGCGAGTACTTGAGAGTCTCCACCCACGCCCAGAACATGTCCTCACAAGAACTCCATGTGGGACAGTTCTCGGGCATAACCCAGGGGTATCCCCAAACAGGATAGAGACCACCCCGGGTCTCGGGCTTCTTACGACAAGTCGTGAAGTCCTTAAGGGGAATGCGGTGTGGCGCGAGAAGCACACACCGAGCAGCCTCCACGTTGTCGACGAACAACTGTTCTTTCTGAACAAGGGCTCGTTCATAGATGCCCCTAGAAGTGTGGCCGCCCACAAGGCCACGAGGAGCGACGAGAAGCTCTAAGAAGAGGTCAGCCCCAGAGCTCTCCTCGGGAGGCCAATACCCTCTTGAGTTGATGGCAGCTCCCTGGCTGACGGGTGCCGCCACCGAACCCCCACGCACACGCTGGGCAGCTTGGAAATTCTCCTGCTGCTGGTCGAGGTCATTCGAGACCTCCCGGGGCTCAACAATGGCACCCTCCTCTTCCTCTTCTTCCTCCTTCTCCTCCTCTTCATCCGAGGAGCCGAAGAGACTTTGATAGGAGCGTCGAGTCTCCTTCTCCTCGCGGAGTGGAGACTTAGAGGCGGTACGCTTCTTTGAGGGCTTGGCGCCTTCGGCTTTAGAGGCCTTAGCGCGCGCAAGACCCTCGGCAAGCGAGAGACGTTTGCGAGGACTCCCTTCCTCATCGCCACCGGCTTTGGGAGTGCCCTTAGCCTTAACGGCCGGACTCTCAGAGCGCACAGAGGTCCTGGGACTGTGATCACCGTGATCACTAGCGGACGACTGCACGCTGTCTTCTTTGTGCTCACTGGGCACTGGGCTGTGCCCTCCCACAGAGCCCGCAGGAGCATCATGAGTGCTCTCGAACTCGGCATCGTCCTCACTGCCCGAGTTGAACTCATGTTCTACGAACCGAGGGTTCGGACGATTGTCTGAAGACGAGGGCGACGGACTGCGGCGCCTGCTTGCGCGCTTGTCCGCAGCCGCGTCACCCGAGGATCCGATCGCCTCGGAGGCCACCTGAGTAGCCTCCTTGAGTGCAGAGCCTTTGCCGTGAGGCTTAGTGCTCTTGGCCTGCGCCTTACCGGCTGCAGCCTTGGAGCGTGTCTTAGCACCGCTCTTAGCAGTGCCACGAGGCATGTTAACGGTCGAAGTGAGACCTTGACGAAGAGCGCACAGGTTGCTGCTCGAGGCTCTAACTGTAAAGTGAGCCTCCGCCGCGCTCGCGCGGCCGAGTCGATGGTTTTCGACTTTGAGAATGAGAGTTTGTGACGAACATCTCTTCATTCTGATTGGTCGGTAAACCGAACCTAAGTGGGGGAGGATGTAACGGGGTACGTAGCACTAAGTGTACCCTGGTTACATGAAGTGTGACACTTCACACTTCAGGAGTATGACATGTCATACTCCGGGATATTTGGTACAAGGTACCAAGGTCATTCAAAACCAACCATTGGTTAAATGACATTGCATTTCTATAGGTAACTGATAGTTTGTATTAACCACAAACTTAACCTACCTATAAATATACTCAGTTTACAATCTACCTTATTTAGGTCACTTCGCTCTCTTTAATTAAAGAGGGGACCTGTGAACTGCCGTTCACTGAGAGTTTGTATACTCTCGGAAGATAACTTCCTCTAGCGCAAGGTGCTGTGTGACCCCGTCACAGTTGGCGAGTAGGAAATGGGTCTGGTAGCTTGAAATGGTCTACAAGGCGCAAAATGTCATCTTTCTCGAAACGAAATTTTCTTTTCCAAGTGACGTCATGTGCTGGCAGGTTAAAGTTGAAGCGATAAGATGCTCGAGCGCTTTTTTCGCGCGCCAATAGCACAGCAATCACCACTTCGTCCTCGTCAGAGCTTGAGCTGTCACTGTCCATTGCTTTGCTCCTTTTAAAATGTTACTGCTGCACAAGGCTTAAGTCACAAATGTTCCCTGTCTAATCGGATATCATCTCACTGTACATATAGCAGGACGCCAGAGCATTTGCACGATGTCCATCGTTATGTATTCGCTCCACGGATCCCAATCATTCGCTCTCTTTTGTAGTCATGACATGACACAGGGAAAAAAGAAAAATTGCACCTAAGAACCGTGAGCTGAAGTACAAAATAAAAGCAAACACGAAATACTTGTCTTGTGACTTATTTCATTTTGGTCATCGGACCGGTCTGTACGATAGGTGGAGCTGTGGCTGCTGCGTTGTCTCGAGTATTCGACCCTTGCTTTTGATAGACGGGGAAGGCGTTGTGCTTGGCTGGTCCTTCGATGAACGCCACCAGTTCGTCACTCATGTAGTACTGCTCCGAGGATTTGTTGACGTTGCAGTCTTCACAGAAGCAGAGCAAGATGGTATCGATGCCAGTCCCGTAGATGTCCAAAAAGAACGAAGCCGTAGCGTAGCTGAGCACACCGGTGAGCAACATGGGGAAGATCGGACTACTGACGCTCGCCAGATCGCCCATGAAGAAGCTCGGTAGATGTGTGGGCGGGTACCGGATGAAGACGAACATAAAAAGCATACAGAAGCCCGTGATAAAC